CTGGAAACTATCATATTTCGGAAAAAAATATCATATTTTGGAAAAACAATATTAAAACAATCTTATCCATGAAAAGATATATAAAAAGAAATGATGAATATGCTACACAAATGCATTTTGTCGTTTGATAACTTTGCCATGAAAATGTCACTTATATATGTAACTGGCAAGGCATTCTTTCTTTATTTGCCGACTTAAATTCTGAAGCACTCCAGACAATATTCACTGTCATTTAGGTGGGGTTATTAGCCAATGTGAATTCTATTTTGTTTATTATGATATATATGATATAAGTCAACTTGTTAACTCCCCATGAAAAGAATAATAAAATTTGATAAAAATCTAAGCATCACTCGAAAATGACAAAAAACTTGAAATTTATCCCAATGAATTGTAAACATGCACAGCATGGCTCATCCCTGCCTAAGATATTAATGAGCAATGACGATATACTTTTTGGAAGTAATTAATAAACAATTTACAGTCCAAAAGAAGTTCGAAGCTACTAGCAAAAGGAATTGAAATGATTTTGCTTGCAAGCAATGTGCATCTCACGTATACTATTGAATCATAATGCTCAACTGTTACTCATTATTATATGTTATATTATACCACATTACTAAGTCTATCTAGCTTAGCTTACCCACTTTCTTCCTCCTTTTCATGTGTGTGTGTACATACATACGTATATGATTATTTTGGATGATTGCAATAAAAATTCTTTAGTTTAGCTGGAACGATTGGCCTCTAGATTACACTCGTAGCTCTTTGACTAATAAGAATATTTAGGTATTTAATCAAATCGTTTATTTGGGTATTGTATTAACTCTACCGAAGAATTTTAAGTAGGATAAGTAAATTGTCTTTCACAAATATAATCAGATTATGAAAGGAATTTTATCCGTATAATTAAAAGGTTCCAATACGACTCTCACAATTTTCGGTTTGATTCCAAGAACAATTAAAAAAAAGGAAAGGAATTCTACTTGACAAGGTTAATAATCCTTAATGCACTATTCAATAAAGATACGTTGGACTTAAAGCCAATTTGGTTCTTAGATTCATCAATACACCTTTATAACCATTTTATGTACCAACTTAGTCCAAAGTCACACTAAAACAATTAATAAAATATATAATGAAGCCTGTTCATGAGACCTAGATGTCATGCAACCGCAATATTGGTTTATAGAAGAATTTTTGAAGGAGAGAAAACGAGAAGAGAGGTTTAAGAATCTAAACTTGTCAAGGGGTAATACCTTTTTCCCGGGTAGAAAAAGAAAAGAAAAGGGAGCTAAATTCTATTCATGCAAGGTTTCAACTGGTCCACTATCAGAAAAAAAAAAAGAAACAAAAAAAAAAAATCTCAAAAGAAACTTTGCGATATTATTATCACATGATTCATACCACTCTTAATGACATTAGATTAGCCAATCACTTTTAAGGTTAACTCATCTCTGCCTAGTCAAAACTCGGAAGATGCCTTACAAATTAATCCAACAACAAAACTTAAAAAACCCAACAAACTGCTTAAATACAGACAACTTGCAGGCTTAATAAACCCCAAAAAACAACGGTTGACTCAAACCCTCACACCTAATAACTTGGCTAATCTAATCCCACCCCCACCATCCTTTTATTAGTCAAAACCTTTAATTAAACTCCAAAACTCAACCCCCTCTCCTTTTCTCTGGCTAAAACCATGTCAACAGTTGGCACAAAACCAAAGCCTCCGTCCTCTCCTCCTTCTCCATCACCACCATGAACTCCTCCACCCTCAGCCCAGACTCCCCGGCCAGAACGTTCAGCTCCGACAGGATTGGCGGT